CTATGGTCTGTCATCAGGGTGAAGTGGGGCAAACCAAGCAGGTAATATTTGCACTTCATCATAGCCCATACTGCGAGCCACTAATTCCAACTCAATTGTGGCATATCTCGTCTCCACATCTGCTAGAAACCGGGAACCACATTGCACTAATCGCCATTCTCCAGGCTTATGTTCTTGCAACAGTGCATAGCCTACACCATAGAGGACGGGAAAGCATCTGTCTGAAGTATGGTTTTGAGTGCTGGGTCGAAATGGGCGAGAACAGGTGGTTGTGAGAGAGCTTTCTTCACACGGCTGAATGCTGCATCATGGTCAGGAGTCCATGTGAAGGTACGCTTGGGACTCATAAGAGGGCGTAAAACATCAGCAGACTCGGCAATTGCAGGGGTGAATTCAGCCAGTTGGTTCACCAAGCCCATAAATGATCGGAGGTCTGTCAGGTTAGCTGGCTTTGGGAATTCGGCAATGGCACGAACTTTCTCTTCTTCAGCTGCAATTCCATTTCCTGACAGGGTATATCCACAGAATGACACTTCTGGGGCTGCGAGCACAAACTTGTCAGCGTTCATGGTAATGCGATGTGCACGGCATCTCATAAGAACTTCCTGTACTCGCTTAAGTGGGATGCATAGTCCTCATCCCATAGAAGGACGTCATCTACCACCTTCACACACTGTTGTACTCCGTCGAGTGCTATGTCACCTCGACGACAGTACTCATCACCTGTGGCTGCAAAGCCCATGGGTCCACGACAAAAGCGGAAGCGACCATAAGGGGTGATGAATGTTGTTAAGTGTTGATCTTGCTCTTCTAAAGGTATTTGCCAATAGCCATATAAGGCATCCAAGGTGGAAAAGTACCTCGCCTTAGGGTTGATACGACGAACAGCATCATGAGGCGTTGGTGAGGGATGGGCAGGGCGTAGCACTTGACTGTTGAGTTTAGTGAGGTCAACAGTGATCCTGACTCCTCCATTAGGCTTAGCTACAGCCACTAAGGGGTGACACCATTGTGATGGTTCATCACCTGCAGGAGTAATGATGCCCTGAGCCACCATGGAGTCCAACTCTGTCTTGACATCATCCCGCCAGGCAAGGGGAATGACACGGGGCGTGTGCACCTGCAAATGGTTTGGCATTTTCCTTTATGAAGATCCTCATAGGGGGTCCACACATCTCCCTTGAGCTTCATACCCTGTCGGAAATCTTCCTTCGTCATGAGAACGTCTGGAAATTCTCGAAGGAAAAACTTTTTCGCTTCATCAGGGGATGCTGAGAATGGAGGAGGTCTTGGTGGATGTAACAGGAACTGTTGTGATGGTTGAGGTGGAGCTGGCTGTTGGCCTGTGGCCTCCTGGGGTGTCACTGAATGGTGATCAGGCATAACTTTGGAGTTGTAACAATTCTTGCTACCTCTCCAGGTTGAACTGTTTGCAGGTTTTCACTGGGAAAGTGTTTACCATGCTTTCTGCCTAGGATCTGTCGTGGGTAGTCCTTGGGGATAATTTGTAGCTGTTGTGTGTGGCTCCAAGACAGCAGAGGTCGTGGTAAAGAACACATTTATCCAACCCTGTATGGTGACTGTACCATACGTCATGCTTGCATATAATGATCCAAGGACAGTACAGTTCATATGCGATCCATCAGGATTATGCAGCTCGAAGTTTGTAGATTTGTCCAGGTTGTCTGTGGTTAATCCTAGAGACTTGAGAAGGGTAACATCCATCACGGTTGTGTCAGATCCTGTGTCAGGTATGCAGTCTATATATGCTGAAGAGTCTCCTGACTGCACTAACAACCTAATAGTCGGAGATGCAGGGCCTACTCGGGATTCAGTTTCAACTGCGCAGACCTTGGCTATGTTGTGCGAAACTTGGGAAACTGAAAGAACATTACCTTCTGTGGGTGGCATCCTTTTCTTCTTTGATGACTGACAACGGCTGGCAAAGTGACCTACTTTGCCACAGGTACGGCAGGTGCTAGTAGAAGCAGGGCACTTCTTCTTGACGTGTGTCCTGTATCCACAATGGTCACAAAGTTCTTTTGGGCTGTGGTTTGGAGACTTAGCAGGGCGACTGTTGGCTTTTCGGTAGGGTCCTTCAGTGTTACCCTTGGCAGCTCGCCGCTTTTGCTGCTTATAAACAGACAATGCACGTGTAGCTGGTTGCAATGGGCGTAATTCTTGGGTGGTAGACTCGGCAGCCTCACGAGATCTACACACAGTTTTTTACGTCATCAAGGGTGGCGTCGGACTTCATCTCTAATAGGCGTTGTTTGGTCTCTTCATCTTTAACACCTATCAAGATGGCATGCTTGATTTGGGTCTCGATACAAGCATTGCTATGTCCTTTACACAAATCCACATCATTTGCAGCTTGCTTAAGGCGTACATAAAAATCTGTAAATGTCTCATTGTGGGCCTGCCTGCACTGGGAAAAGGTGAGACGTCGTAAAGCCTCATTCTTTTGGTCTCGAACGAAGTTCTGGATTCGCTGGAGGACATCCCTGAGAGGCAAATCTGAGGCTGGAGACACGCCTAAACTGTGCTCCAGTGTTCCTCTCATGTCAGCAGATAAGCACGCACGCAAGTGTATTAATTGCTTATGCTGAGGCAGGTTATGCAGGTCAATCATGACAGCATAATCATCCCAGCGTTGTCGCCATTCTTTGTACGACCGCAGAGTAACATCTTGGGCGAGGGGTGGGGGAGGCTGGACTGAAGCCTTCATTGCTGGAGTACCTGACGAAGGCGCCGAAGCCGGAAGGTCCGTGGCGACAGCAGGCTGTGGTCCTACAGTCTGCGGGGGAGTGGGAGACGTGGTGAGGGTAGCAAACAGCTGCAAGAATCGTTGTTCCTCAGCCTTCCTTCTCTGCTCGTCGTCCTCTCTTCTACGTCTGTCCTTCCTCCTGTCTTCGCCTGTCTTCCTCTTGTCGTCGGCGTTCCTCGTCTTCTTGTCGTCGGCGATCTTCCTCTCGACGTCGTTCCTCGTCTTCTTGTCGTCGGCGATCTTCCTCTCGACGTCGGTCCTCGTCTTCTTGTCGTCGGCGATCTTCCTCTCGACGTCTTTCCTCGTCTTCTTGTCGTCGGCGATCTTCCTCTCGACGTCTTTCCTCGTCTTCTTGTCGTCGGCAATCTTCCTCTTGTCGTCGTCGTTCCTTTCTTCTATTTAGGCATTTTGGTTTATATGAAGTATATTTTACGTGTCTGGTGGTTCGGAGTTTCCTCGTGGCGCCTCGCAGACGGACGCTGCGACGTCAGAGCTGTTGGGCACGGTCGGCCAATCCTGGGGCTCGACGTCACGAAGGGGGCGGAGCTTCTTCTCTCAGGGCGGTGTGGTGCGGCGAGAGGGCCAGTGCCGCTGCAGACAGGATGCGTGGTGATGTAGAGCGTAGCTCTGGCCAAAATGACCAAAAATGCGGGGGAATTGAATGACAGCTGTATTCCCTGCACATACTACACCACAAGATATCACTGCACTTCACTAACACCACACAAGTCACTCAGACACTTCACAACATGAGTAGTCACTGAACACGAGGACGCTGCATGGCTGAGTCACACTGCCGGTTCCTCTCTTTACTGTCTTTTCACTGAAACTCACTGCGCCATGTGGGTGTGGGATGTCCACAGAATGTCTTACCAGATGTGGATAGATAAACTCGCGTAAATCCTTTGGTGATATATTGACAGTAGAGACTAGATACACGAGGCTCGGAAGTGACGTACATCCGTCCCGTTCCGTGGTGACAGTGCGACTGACTTCTGTCTACAATAATAACAGTGTTGCCATATCATTGGTCCATACACAGTTTACTAATATGTTACACATATACACACAGTCTGTATCGCTGGAAATAAACACACAACTACTGCTTTTGTGTTTTGTTTTTTTTTGTTTTTTTTTTTCTTTCTTTCTGTTTCTCTGATTTCATTTTTCGTCTATTTGTTTGTCTAGGTGTTGTTATGTTTCTCGATTTTTCCTTACTTTTTTTTCTCTCTGATTTTTGCTCTTTCTCTCTCTCTATCTATCTCTATCTATCTATCTGTCTATCTGTCTATCTGTCTATCTCTCTCTCTCTCTCTCTCTCTCTCTCTCTCTCTCTCTATCTATCTATCTATCTATCTATCTCTCTCTTTTCTCTCACTTTCTTTCTCTCTCATACACACCATGTACACAATGCAGATATAGATATATAGATACAAAGATAGAATAGATAACTAGATAGACAGATCGATACAAGGTAGAGACAGAGATAGATAGAGAGATAGACAGATAAGTGATAGAGACAGAGATGCAGACTCAATAGGTAAGTACGTAGGTAAACAGATATACACAGATACGTAAATACAGAAAATGTGTTTTAGCGATAAGTTACAAGTTCACTATATTGAGGTGTCCTTGATTTCGCCTGCATTTGCAAGCTGCCGGAGGGGACTCAATATCAAGGGCCGAAGTCCGTACCATCTCTCTCTCTGTCTCTGTCTCTGTTTCTCTCTCTCTCTCCCTCTGTCTCTCTCTGTCTCTCTCTCTTTCTCTCTTTCTCTCTCATTCTCTGTCTCTGTCTCTGTCTCTGTCTATCTGTCTGTCTGTCTGTCTCTCTCTCTCTCTCTCTCTCTCTCTCTCTCTCTCTCTCTCTCTCTCTCTCTCTCTCTCTCTCTCTCTCTCTCTGTCTCTCTCTGTCTCTCTCTCTGTCTCTGTCTCTCTCTCTCTCTCTCTCTCTCTGTCTCTCTCTCTCACTCTCTCTCTCTCTCTGCCTCTCTCTCTCTCTCTCTCTCTCTCTCCTCTCTCTCTCTCTCTCTCTCTCTCTCTAACCTCTCTCTCTCTCTCTCTCTCTCTCTCTCTCTCTCTCTCTCTCTCTCTCTCTCCTCTCTCTCTCTCTCCTCTCTCTCTCTCTCTCTCTCTCTCTCTTTCTCTCTCTCTCTCTGTCTCTGTCTCTGTTTCTCTCTCCCTCTCCCTCTGTCTCTCTCTGTCTCTCTCTCTTTCTCTCTCTCTCTCTCATTCTCTGTCTCTGTCTCTGTCTCTGTCTATCTGGCTGTCTGTCTGTCTGTCTTTCTCTCTCTCTCTCTGTCTCTCTGTCTCTCTCTCTCTCTCTCTCTCTCTCTCTCTCTCTCTCTCTCTCTCTGCCTCTCTCTCTCTCTCTCTCTCTCTCTCTCTCTCTCTCTCTCTCTCTCTCTCTCTCTCATCTCTCTCTCCTCTCTCTCTCTCTCTCTCTCTCTCTCTCTCTGCCTCTCTCTCTCTCTCTCTCTCTCTCTCTCTCTCTCTCTCTCTCTCTCTCTCTCTCTCTCTCTCTCTCTCTCGCTCTCTCTCTCTCTCTCTCTCTATTTCTCTCTCTCTCTCTGCCTCTCTCTCTCTCTCTCTGTCTCTGTCTCTGTCTCTCTCTCTCTCTCCCTCTGTCTCTCTCTGTCTCTCTCTCTTTCTCTCTCTCTCTCATTCTCTGTCTCTGTCTCTGTCTCTGTTTATCTGGCTGTCTGTCTCTCACTCTCTCTCTCTCTCTCTCTCTACTCTCTCTCTCTCTCTCTCTCTCTCTCTCACTCTCTCTCTCTCTCTCTCTCTCTCTCTCTCTCTCTC